ATCGAACAATATTCCCATATGTGCGCGTTCCTTCGATAACCCCACGATTGTTTGTCGATTGTCCAACAATTTTCCCACTTGTGAGGCTGCAGAGTTCCTGCAAAAATTGCGACAATGATTTGAATCACGAGAATATGTGTGCGCGGGAAGTTCGCCTAGAACAGGATTCCACTTCTGTCTTTTTGGGATTTCATTTGGGGAAAACTTAAGTCATGCGTGTCTTTCAGGAGAAAATTTTAGGTTTATTTATATTTAATTTAATTATTGCGTACGATTCTTTCCGCAAAAATAGAAGACCGATAGATGTATCATTCATGTTTCAAACAGTGTAGATAAAATGTAGATGAGGTCTTTTTGGAATTTTGGGGGAAATCGAGTCACGCGTCTTTCAAAACATATTAGATTTACGAGTATATCTGTTCAATTACTGCGTGAGATTTTTTCCACAAAAATAAAAGATCGATGGATAACACGCACTGCATTATTTGAAAAACTTCAACAAACTTTTAGATGAATATAGCGAGTTTATTCTTGGGAATTTGAGGGAAACTTTGGAGATGCGTCTTTCAAAAAATGTTAGATTTTTTTCAGCATAGGACTTTTCCTATTTAAAATGCTGAAGAGGTTGATAGGTAACACTGAATTTTTTCAAACAGTGTCAATAAAATCTAGAACTCTGGATGAATAAAGTAAGAGTCTTTTCGGGATTTTGTTGGAAACTGGAGTCATGCATCTTTAAAAACAAGTTATATTTCCATTTTTGTAATTGCTGCATTTCAGGAGATTTCCCCCGTAAAAATAAGAGACCGGAAGAATACACCGTTCATTGATTCAAAGAAAATCAAATAGATTAGCGATTATGTGGTGATATTTTTGAATTGGCTGCGTTCGTATTATTACCTGGGTTGAATCTGTCGGTGCAAGTGTAATATCCCCCGTGACTGCAAGCCATCGTCGAGCCCCAACGGTCATTGACGACGACAGTGTCGCGAACCGGACTGTCGTTGTACAGCCATGCCAGGAACCCGGGAGAGTCCCAGTACGTGTACTGCGGTTCCCAGTCGCCGTCCGACCAAATAACTTCCGGCTGGTATGTTTCCACCTGCAATTACGACGAATATTATTTTTTTTCCGTTGCAGAACGAAATAGTTGCACAAGGTATTTACGAGCAATTAATCCCGTTTACGAATTAATTTTCCGTTCGGCAGCGCGCGCGGTTTAATTCTCTCTCTGTTTCGCTTCGGGGATTTCCTTCCTGAACATGAGGAAGAATATTCCGAATGGAATCAGGAAAAGAAGAAGAATTTATTCGACGAAATCATCAGTCGCAAGAAAAAAATGGATAAAGAAGCACTGTTTTCTATTTTTAGAGTTTCAGGATTGTGTACTTTGATTTCTGTCTTGCGAGGGAAATTTTCCACACGGCGTTCTCGGATGTATTCAGACGGAAAAACTGCGATAAAAATTAGCTTTTCATCCTTTTGCTGGGGTTTTATTCAATTCCCGTNATCGAACAATATTCCCATATGTGCGCGTTCCTTCGATAACCCCACGATTGTTTGTCGATTGTCCAACAATTTTCCCACTTGTGAGGCTGCAGAGTTCCTGCAAAAATTGCGACAATGATTTGAATCATGAGAATATGTGTGCGCGGGAAGTTCGCCTAGAACAGGATTCCACTTCTGTCTTTTTGGGATTTCATTTGGGGAACACTTAAGTCATGCGTGTCTTTCAGGAGAAAATTTTAGGTTTATTTATATTTAATTTAATTATTGCGTACGATTCTTTCCGCAAAAATGGAAGACGGATAGATGTATCATTCATGTTTCAAACAGTGTAGATAAAATGTAGATGAGGTCTTTTTGGAATTTTGGGGGAAATCGAGTCACGCGTCTTTCAAAACATATTAGATTTATTTCTGTTCAATTATTGCGTGAGATTTTTTCCATCAAAATGAAAGATCAATGGATAACACGCTCTGCATTATTTGAAAAACTTCAACAAACTTTTAGATGAATATAGCGAGTTTATTTTTGGGATTTTGAGGGAGACTTTGGAGATGCGTCTTTAAAAAAATGTTAGATTTTTTTTATCATGCATCGGATTTTTTCCCATTTAAAATGCTAAAGAGATTGATAACTCTGAATTCTTTCAAACAAAGTCAATAAAATCAAGAACTCTGGATGAATGAAGTAAGAGTCTTTTTGCAGTTTTTGGGATTTTGTTGGAAACTGTAGTCATGCGTCTTTCAAAAGAAGTTCTTCTTTTTTTAATTGCTGAATTTCAGGAGATTTTTCCCCGTAAAAATAAGAGACCGGAAGATTACACCGTTCATCGTTGCAATCAATATCAAACAGATTAGCGATGTACACCACTATAAAAACTTAACCGACGCAAGCATAATAATGGACCCAACTTAGACAGCCACGTTCACATTATAGGGGGCACTGACGTTCGGTAGCAGCTCGGGGTTGCCAGTAACTGCTGCTGTCACTCGCGAACCGGACTGTCGTTGTACAGCCATGCCAGGAACCCGGGAGAGTCCCAGTACGTGTACTGCGGTTCCCAGTCGCCGTCCGACCAAATAACTTCCGGCTGGTATGTTTCCACCTGCAATTACGACGAATATTATTTTTTTTCCGTTGCAGAACGAAATAGTTGCACAAGGTATTTACGAGCAATTAATCCCGTTTACGAATTAATTTTCCGTTCGGCAGCGCGCGCGGTTTAATTCTCTCTCTGTTTCGCTTCGGGGATTTCCTTCCTGAACATGAGGAAGAATATTCCGAATGGAATCAGGAAAAGAAGAAGAATTTATTCGACGAAATCATCAGTCGCAAGAAAAAAATGGATAAAGAAGCACTGTTTTCTATTTTTAGAGTTTCAGGATTGTGTACTTTGATTTCTGTCTTGCGAGGGAAATTTTCCACACGGCGTTCTCGGATGTATTCAGACGGAAAAACTGCGATAAAAATTAGCTTTTCATCCTTTTGCTGGGGTTTTATTCAATTCCCGTATTTGCGGAAAATGCGCTTCGAAGTTCGATGCTGTTGTGCAAATCCGCTGAGCGAATCCCTGCTGCTTCTTCGGGCGCAATTTAAAACAGTTCCTCGTCGTATGGATTCCAAGCTCATTTCTTTATATTGAATAAGTCTTTCAAGCCTCAATTTTCTTCTTGAATTTAACCTTTCGTTTTCCGAAACTACAGTATAGAAAACATTTTTAGGTCGAAATAAGTGCTATACATCATAGTTTTACAGTTTATTTAGCGCCTATAAAGTGTTTAGCTTGACTCACTTTTGTACGTTAGCAGCACATTTACAGAAAGGCCACAATAAAAAAGACTTGAGACTGTTGATATCTCCCAGATATGGATTTGCGCTATTTTTTATATTGAGAGTATGTAATGCCTTACCAAATACTTGAGTTCCGGTGTCATTTTGTTGACAACGAAGTCTCTCGTTGTCCATCCATTTGCCTTGTCCTTCTGGTACAAGGGATTGAACCATTCGTATAGCGAATAGTAAAGGCCGAATTTCATGCCACGATGGGTTTTAATCGCCTTGGAGAGCTCACCTGTGAAACGAGATTAATGAATATTCATTAGGAAAACAAGGAAAACATTTCGCGTTGACAAACAGGATGTAAAATGTCAGTGATTGATGACGAGGACGTTCAATAAATGGTTGTGCTTCGTTCCGCGACGGAGAAAAAATTAAAAAGCCCTAACTTTTGATCGTTAGGATTCGATTTAAATTATTATGTTGAAATTATTATGTTATATATAAGCCCGGTTTTTGTTGTTGTTGCTTGATGAGTAAAACAACTGTTGTTGATGTTTCAATATTATAATGGCTTACCGACAAGGTCTCTGTTTGGTCCAACATCAACGGAGTTCCAGTTGAAGGAATACGGCGATGGGAAGTTTGTGAACCCCTCGTGATGCTTGCTTGTCAAGACTATGTACCTGATTTGGGATCACAAGGTTTTTTAAATGAGATTTTTGGAAAAACGGTATTATTCGAGACTCATGATGAAAATTGATCAAATGATGTTTTGTAGCGAAACTTTTTTAGTATCAATGAAGCGCGGACTACTGACCTTCTCACAGCGGGTAAGACAACGCAACTTTTTAAGACGCCACTTAACCCCTCGTTTCAGTCGCATCCATTTTAAGCCGAACATCAAAAACGAGATGAATGCTTCGTAGCTTGGTTTTGAAGCACCTGTTGAATGAACAAAAAATTATTTAATTCAGAAATTACGAATTAACGCGCAAGAACTCGTCCGTTTGAACAGATTCTCAATTTGATTTTTTTTTCCAGTTGAAAAGGGAAGGATGATTTTTTTCCCTCCTTATCTCCGAAGATGTTAATGATCGCGAATCATGCGAAGGCAATATGCAGTTGATGAAGAAGACGATTGCGAAGAAATGGGCGAATGCGCCAACAACTCGAATTTTCGCAAAGAAAATCTTCGTCTACTGATTTCGAATTCCGAAAATGTGCATCACGAACCTTTCCAGTTCCACCAAAACCACTCGGTCCCGACGCTTGGCACGGAATATACTCCCCAGTGAATGAAGATGCCAAATTTTGCTTCGTCATACCAATTTGGCAGCGGTCTAGAATCGATGGATTCCCAATTGGGGTCATACTTGATCCGCTCCCCTTCGGTACTTCGAACTGATGCCGAATCCACGTCAAAATCGTTCCTTGTTCATCGAAAGAAACCCATCATCGTATATGAGCCACTGCAGTTAATTTCACGAAAAATACCGTAATTTTAGTTTTATAAAATCCGCTCCCTAATTAAGAAAATTGGTGGTTTATTTCGTCGTGGATATTTTTCATTCGAGATTTCGTTGCGCAAAGAGAAAGAAGCTCGTGTCCGCTGACTTATAATCATCTGGCAAGAAATCTTTCGACACCTTTTGCCGGTGTGATCTTTCGTTGTAATCATATCTCGGTCTTATTAGACCATCATTACCGCCCGTGTTGTTTTTATTGTGCTTCTTCTACGCATTTCTTATTTCCCGAGAAAATCTACGAGTGAAAGTCAGCGACGAATCGTTACGATTCTTTTGCGCACGATACAGAGCGTTATTGTGCTCTACAGCTGTATATTAGCATTATTCTTATGTCGCCATGTGAAGAATTTTTTTTATGGAATTAAACGAGGCAGAATTGTTTCCAGTTTTGATCACGGGTGTTGCGAAATGTCAGATTATGTGATTTTCTTGAAGCGATGTTTCATTATTCCTCCCCACTTTCTTAAATTGTACACCCTCACAGTGCTTCTGCGTTGTCGAAAAATGTCAAACTTCAACTACAGTATTTGTTTTATTCGAGTTCCAGCACAGATGCACTTTGTTCCTGCGTATTTTATTTTTCCGTTTGAAACGCACATTCTTGAACATATATACCGGATCATTCTAGATGCAGAAGCGTCAATTAATTATTTTTTAATTCGTCAGTTCAATTCTGATTTGTTTATTCATTTTCCTGGAGCAGTCGCAAAGCTCCAACGGAAGTTAAAGTTAAGCTTTGCACTTGTTTAGGTTGGGGATCCGTTAATTGATTATTGAATTGACCACTGTATCAAGTTGGAGTAACGTCAACTGGGTTTTGATTTAAATTTTAGGAACTAGGTTATGTTTGATGCGTACAGCATTGTGTTGGTTGGTTTTTTATCACTTGCTGATGCATAACATGAGGTCACAGGTATTTTGATAGGTCTATTTAGTTTACATTTAGGTTTTCATTCATCACAGTAAGCTGTTTTCTCTCTCCCTACGTTTTTTTAAAAGCACGATTAAGGCTAAAATATTACATTCACTCATTAAATGGCACACACATTATTTTAAGTAAGACGCGGATAAAAATTTTTAGTTACTAAACAACTGCAATTCTTCAAAAATAAGACAAACCAGCAGAATTTGACTTTGGACATGAGTTGAACCATACTGCAATCACTTTTCAATCTATTTTCTGAGAACGATTCTGTCAAAATTGATCCAAAATGTTCTATCAGAATCAAATCTGACGCGCACCTGGATACTTTTGAAAATCTTTGAAAATTTGATACCAACGCGCATCCATTTTTCTGCTCAATTTAAAGAAGAAAAGGTGCGCGGAGCACTCGAATAAATACGGTAAATCGGATAAATATTTTTTTTTTATTTACGCACTTTATGTCGGAGTTGCGAAGAAGCTCTTCTAGTCCATGAAGCACGTGGGCAAATTTCTGGATGTCATCCACCGAGTTCTTGATTCCCGACGACGACTCGCTGTCGAGGTTGATCGCCACTTGCCGACCATTTTTAGCTGCTCGGTGCTCCACGGGTGCCAAAGCTGGGTCATCGTCGGGTCGTGTGACTACCAGAGCTTCTCCGTGACCCTTGGCGAGTTTGCGGCGGGCTCTTTGCAACGGCTGCTGCTGCTCTTTCGCATTTAAAAGCATGGGAAAGCAATGAAGGAACAGAACAACATATAGCAGGCACGCTATTTTGCGCTTTTGAATCATCACGGCTGTATTTTTTCTCTGCCTGCGAAAACCGAGGAAATAATTCGAGTATATTCGGTACAGTTGAAAAAAAAGTTTTCTGGCAAGCGTGTATAGTTCTTGAAATTCGCGCGGGTTTTCCGATTGGATGAGCCAGACAAAGGAAATTCATGGTGGTTCTATAAAGCTTAAAAATTTTGTCTAGCATCACGGAATAATTAAAATTTTTTTGGCTGATTTACTCTATGGTCAACGGGGGTTAATTGTTTCTTGAAAAAAAAAAACATTAGAATTGCCTAGGGAAAAGCAAAATTTGAATTCCGAATATTTCGTTCCTGATGATATATTCCATCATTGCACATGTGTCAAAATAAATGTTCACACTCTGATTTCATTTAAATAATCTCAATTTTGCAAAAAATGTGAAAAATACTTTTTTTTCCATATGTGGCAAGCTTTTCTCTATGTAAAAATATGAGGCGATAACCGCCATGAACCCAATTTGGGGGTCAAGAATGATTCGAAATATTTGAAAAAATTTTGACTTGAAAACTGAAAATAAAATTGTTCTAACCTTTGTAGAACTAAATGAAGTTATAGAAAAGAAAAACAGACTCAAAGAAAATGTGGCAGTTAATAATGGGATGAAAAACCGTGCCCTATATGGCGCCACTGTATCACCATCAAATGATCTTAAAATTTCAAAAATTCCAAAAGATTAATCTTTTTTGTTTTGCATACAGGCAAACTTCAAACGCAAAAACAGAATGAATAAGAATTATATTCTAATAACAGCAAATGCCTTTGCGAAATATATACTGGAAATAAGTCCCCTGGTACATTTAGTTATCTCTGGACTGCGTAAATGATCCCGCATGGCTCGAATGCATCGTTCATTGCTATACGTTCTTAAAAACGCGTTGATATATACACTAAATTTCGGAAGCCCTCAGGGGAATATAATTATGCGCGAAAGACAAGGTCTCCTATTTTGTTATTGCACAGCACTGCGCGTAACACAGTGATTTTTTGCTCTGAATATTGCAACATTATAACCGAGCCCAATTTTTCGATGAATTCACTGCTATGATAATGTGTAAATGAACTTTGCAATCGACCATCAACACGCACAACAATTGAATGAGCACATTTCACAGAGACTTCGGATCACACACTTTCACCACACACACACACACACATGTACTATAAATCACCACTCTCTCTGCTCATAAATACAGTACTGTCTTTACAAATTTCTCGGCAAAACTCGAATAATGTACAGTACTGTTCAGAATATGGTTCGTGGGATAATCGGCGGGACAATGCATGCAAAACCCCTGTGCAAACAAATCCTGCCAACGTGGTGATATAGTAATGGCCGGACGGCCATACTAGCCTGCGCAAGTAAGACAAATGCGTATTCGATGAAGGGAATCTTTTTGTACTGCTACCAATCACAACAAGGCTGATGCAATGGCACGCATTTCTGGCAGCCATGTCATCCGTTTAAGCAACTGAGGCCAGCCCAGCCTCGTTCTATTGCAAACCCCCAATTGGTGTGGAAATGTATAACCTAACTGTGTTCAAGAACAGGAATTGCGACCTGCCATAAACCAACGTGTTACGTTGCAAGTGTCTGTGTTTATTTCTAGTCTGTGCTTATCAGTGTGCAGGCTATTGTGTTAAGTGACAGCAAGTCCCACTCAACTCTTACTATATGATGAGGAACTGGTGCGCCGCGGGGCCCTGCACTGGCACTAGAGTATATAGATCCTGATGTCACGAAAATGCCCGCGAGATGCCTTGGTTTCAAGTCATGCGCCACTTGTCTGGGAAATCTGACAGAAAATGTCAGATGCGAAGAATGTGTCAGGAAGGAAACCACAAAAAGTTGATTCATATCAGCAGGTGAGCAACAAGCGAAATCCGCGAAACAGTCTGTTACCTGAACCAGGTCTCTTCGTGATATAAAAGCAGGCATCTTTTATTTTGGACCGTTTGAATCGGCTTTTCTAATTTCTTTCAAATTATAAAATTTGAAACGTATCGTTTGTATGAATCAGTGATGAAGAAATGTCTTGAATTTCGGTAGTTGTTTCTATCAGCAAAACAGTATTACAATATTAATTGGAGCAGCAGGTTTGAATAAGAAGTCGTCGAGATTGAAGTTATGCTGTGACTTCTGTATAGGCGCGTGCACGCTTGGCGAAGTTGCTCAGATTTGGTTACACTTGAGGGGTTTTAGTCATTATAAGTGTACTTCATATGCTGGGTAAAAAGGAAAATAAAAGTACCAGGCAACCTGAGAAACGTTGGCCTAATTTCCTAAACGCCAAATTGTAGCAATGCTGAAAAATCACATGCTGGGATAAAAATGAAATTAAACACTATGTTTATTGATGCTGTACATGATCTTCGTTGTCGATATACAGTATATGATAATCGGCACAATCATTTTTGATTTTTAAATCGGTCGTGCTTCAAAATTAAATGCTAGAAGAGACGTTTCATGCTTTCTCCAGCACATCTGAGAATAACGGCGTTTACTTTTTTCTGTCGATTATTGCTGCCCAGGCATAAATTTATCTCAGCTCGATATTATCTATAAATTTTAAAGCTTGGAGAAATTACTTGCATCTTTACAATTCCAATACAGTACGGATATTCAGCACAGTTAATGAACATTCACACAGAAAAACATTATCCCAATACATAATCATACTTTAAAAGCTCATTGTAGAATCTTCAGACATTTCAAAGCGTAGCATTTATGTATAATAGCGTTAAACTTGTTTATTTTTGTTTCCTATGCGATACGTGGTTTTCTTTCAATTTTCGGGGTTTTTGGATTTTTTCATTTAGTTTGCTGACGAGACATTATTATATCCAAATTAAGACTGAAAGTCTTATCTCTTCTTGATCAATATCAACATTGAATGGAGCAGAAGGCGGCGTTTATTTTTAAGTAAATAAATACCCAAGCTGCGAACAATGTGACGTTGCATTTATAATTGCCCATTGTTTTTTGTGTGCTCTACTGCTCCAAAATCAAGCTTTATATGAAACGTGAGGAATTTGTCTTTGATAGTATGAAACTTGGCATGCTGAATTATGAAGTTGCCTGATAGTTATCTTGTAAAATTGATGATTGTCATCACAACCGAATTGATGCGTTACTAATACTGTACATCTGCACTTTTGCAGTATTAATTATTGACAACGTTTTTGCGAAGTCCGGGGATCTGAATGGATATTCAGAACAATCAGAAGTAAATATTTCAATTCGCATTCTATATCGCAAAAATGTTGAACGGGTTTTTTTCCCCAAGGAATTTTCGGATCGGTGAGCAATCAGATAAAGAATCGCATTAACAAGCTGGAAAAAATAATTGGTTCGAGTCCAGAAACTGCAGCGGTTCGTCGCGAAACGCTACCATGAAATTCACTTTTCACGCCGCGCCTCGAGTTCTTTCAAGAGTGAAATTCAATCAACCACTTCAGGGATTTTTTCTTTACTTGGATTCAACGCTTCGTTGCGCTTTTTGTTGTTTTGTTTTGTGTACTTTTCTTTCTCTTTGAACGGACCGGAGTTCTTCGGCGACCATCCACGGCGACAATCCGCGCTCAACTGACCGACTCTCTCAAGAATCAAGACCCAGCCTTAGATTCTACCAAACCGTGCTTTTACACGAAAGAAGGGGATAGAGAAGAAGAAGAAGAAGAAGAAGAAGGAATATACGGTAGAAATGCACTTCATGAGTAACTTTTGGTGGTGAATAACAGGAGGAAAGAAGAACCGTGCGATGGTATATGTAGCAGAAGCCAGCGAACTGGTGACTGACTGACGTTTATACCAGGTTGGGAAGAAATGTAGACTGAACGCGATAACGCAGATGCTCGTGTGTGATTCCTTCCGTTTTTGCCCGGAACGCATTTCATGCCCGTGTACCACATATTTCGTATCTTTATATCCTCGATTCTTACAATTCTGCTGCATTTTTTTTCGTAGAATGAATTGCACCTATCGCTGTCAAGGTGAACTAACATTTCATGTTTCCCATAAGATGATCTTCTCACCGCGCGGTTCTTGTTGGAAAAGGGGTCTCGAATATTTCTGCGGAGATCATCATGACGGGAGCTTGGGGAAGAATCAAATGCTGTGGGCTTGGCTGCACTCGATAAAATGTCAATTGATGCTTTCGAAGGGTATGTTTGACTATAGGGGGATGCGATACAATTTTTTTACTGTTTTCATATTTATGATTTACCCAGGGTACTTCCGAGATTCATCTAAGGAAAATCTCCTTCACGAAAAAAAAGGTCTCGACATTTTCTTCAATGTTTAACTCTTTGCTAGGAACTGGAAGAAAAATCGAATGCGGGCTTGAGTTTACTTGATAAAATGTTAATTGACGCTTTTATTGAATTGAACATTTATTATGAAGATGCGTGTATTCATTTTTGTTTTCATATTTACGATTTACTCAGGGTAATTCCGGGATTCATCCAAGGACGATATCTCCTTCACGAAAAAACAAATGGCTAGACATTTTATTTAATGCTAATTTTTTGGTGGGAGCTTGGAGAAGAACCAAATGTGGGCTTGATTTCACTTTAGAAAATGTCAATTGGTGAAGAGATGTTTTGACTCTGATGGGGATTCGAAAATGTTGGGTTGTCTTCATATTCTTGATTATTTACTCAGAGTATTTTCGGGATTCATCTGAGGAAGTGAAAAATTCACACGAAAGTGAAAAATGGCTTTAGATTGTTTCAATTTTGAAATTTGTCTAGGAACTTGGAGAAGAATCAAATGTGGGCTTGACTTCACTTGAGAAAATTTCAATTATTGCCTTGATCAAAGGATATACTGTATATTGACTCCGAAGATTTGTATACACGAATTAGGTTCTGTCTTTTTAATTAAGATCTATTCGAAGTACTGTACTGTACTTCCGAGTTTCACGTAAGGAAAATCTACTTCACTGAAGTCAGTAAAGAAATATTTGCTGGATTTGTAATTTTTTTTCCACTGCGGGATACGTGAGTCGTGTCTAGGTAACT